TTCGGGGTACGTTTTGACTCGAAATTAGTGTGTACGCGGTGTTATTACTGTTGAGACGTCGACACGGTGGCCATACGTGAAACGACGAGCTAGCTTCATTCAATTAAAAGGTCGGCCTACTACTGGAAGGTAGCTAATCGTAGTTGCTGTTTGGGCCGCAAAGGCAGAAGTTGGTCTAGTCTTTAAATGATCTTTAAAAGTGCTATTAAGGAACAATTCTCTTATTATTCTTGCTTTTATAAAATCTATTTATTTTTAAGCTAACCGTAGTTGACTTGGCTAGTCAGCAGCTCTTCGAGTCAAAGGCCTGCTTGTTTTGAACTCATTTCCTGTGCCGCAGAAGCTTTTTTTTTACGGCGATCTTTGTTTACGACTGCTTTTCTCTGCTCTTTCTACGGCTTTTGTTTTTCTTTTTTTCGACCACAACAAATAAATAAATGCATAATAACAATAATAAAGCGAAAGTGTTGTGGTTTTTTTTTCTAAAAAAGTCGAACGAATGCTATATTTAGTTTGTTTTCATTAAAATTGTGGGAAAACTATTAAATTAAGACTTTGTAGGAGATGTGAGTTGTTGCATACCTCCATTAACTTAATCTCCCGTGCTCATTTCCTGTTGATATCCACAGCCTGCCTGCTTCACCACTGGGAAAGGAGGGGGAGAAACTATGGCAGAGCAGGGCTTCGAGGATTTACAGCTGAGCCAGAATCTACCCTTCAGCCAGGATTCATTTAAAGAGCTGTGGGACCAGCTACCGTGAGTAAAGTCTTCATTCCAGATTCCATTAATTTTATTATTATTATTTTTTTAAATGCAATTATTACTCCTACAGTGTGGCTGAATCTCTGTCTGTCAGTTTGGACACTATTTCAGCTGTGAACAGCAGTACAGGTCACAATGAAACCTGGAGGCCAGATGGCAACATGGATATGTTTCAGGTGTGATTACCCGACCTTATGCAGAATAGCATCTTTAAAGATTTGTCGAGATTCCTGTGACTTCAACATGCATGTTTATTCTTGGAAGCAAACTGACTTCCCTTTGTCTGTTTTCAGCTGATCACTGACCAGCAATTAGCTGAACACTTCGATGAAAAGCTCTTTGAGCTGCCAAATGATGCTTTGCAAAAAGATGGTGTTACACCGCCAGCCTCCACTGTTCCAGTCACAACAGATTACCCTGGTGAATATGGGTTTCAGCTCAGATTCCAAAGGTCTGGAACGGCAAAATCGGTGACCTCAACTGTAAGTTATGGTTCATCTGACCTCGGAAAATCTTATAACTGTACTTGTGTTTTTTTTTTGTTGTTTTTTTTCTTAAACAGTATGATAAATGTTATTTGTCTTACATCTGTTTTAATTGGTATAAAACAAACGACCAGAAATTTCACCAGGAATTTTAATACGATGGGCATCTTAACTGAATCCAAGTAATTAAACCAAGACGCATTATATATGTAAAGTTTGAAGGTGCTCTCAATCGATTATTCTGCAACCAAACATGACATGGAGCAGAAAGCTGCTTTTTGAGGCTTTCCTCACAGATAAAGAAGACTTTGAGAGCTGCTTTTAGTTTAGGCAGCAGTTGCTGAACTTAGTTTTGTTTTGTTTTGTTTTTTTGTTTTTGAATGCAGAAGGGCATATTTTATTTGTTTTTATAACTGTTTTAATTTAATAAAACAAGTTAAACTCTCATATAGAGTTTAAAATGTGGAGGCTTGTTAATGAAAAGGTCTTAAATTGGTAAAGTCACTGCTTTTAAGTTATCCCTTGATTTTAAGATGAAGAAAAAAACATCTTACCTTTTTATTAAAAATCCATTCTTTGGTATCGGTCATTGTGCCATTCATGTGGAATCTTTTTCATTGTGACGATTCGCTGAAATTTAACTTCCACAGTCAGTTGCTGCATTTGAAGAGCCAATAGTGTTGAAGTTTTCAGTGACTCACCATGTAGTGCAATGTGGTTGGCTAGCTCAGTTAAAGTTAGGGTGCTCTGCAGTGTAATCCCCCGCCACCCCCACCACTTGCTCTGGTCTGCAGGAGAAGGGCCTTCTGCTTGCAAAGCACTGCTCTGACATGACGGGACATGTTCCTGCACCCTCAGAACAGAAAGGGTTAAAATTTTATTCTGGTTCATTTTGCTTTGCTGCTTAGAAAAGTTAATGTATTTAATTTTGGATTATTTTGTTTTAGAGTCGAAAGACTAGTTCAGGGGTCAGCAACCTTTAACACCGAAAGAGCCATTTGGAGTCGGTTTCCACGCAAAAGAAAACACTGCGAGCCGCAAATACTTTTTGACATCTAAAATGAAGATAAAACTGTATATATTGTTTTTTTTTTACCTTTATGCTTTGTGTGAACAACTAAGGTGTGTTGCTTATGAAATCCATGAAGTGCTACGGAGAAAGGTCGTGTCCAAATTCATGGGCTGCATCCTCTTGAGGACCCAGCCTTCGCGGTCTACGTGGGCCGGGTTCTCAGAAGGTCGGGTAGGCCGGAAGTAAACGGTTGGGGAAATTGGACGGTCTAGCCT